CCTTCCATGTCTCCAAGCATTCGTCTATGGTACAACAAAGATCTTACATTGGGCCACGCTAGACAAGTGATATGGAACCCCAGAAAGAAAATTCTGCTTTCTCTACTAAGAGGACACTAAAAGGACATAAGTAAGATGCAGGAGCATGAACTGTTCTGCACGCACTCAGGGTACAGATTTGGCTTGCACTGAGGCCCAACAAGGGCACCAAATCAGGGGAGACGGGACAGTGACTCTCATCGGCATCAGAACGAAGAACTCCCAAGAACTCCACTGAGAGGCTAGAGCCCACCCAGTCATCCGCGAGGAGGGCTTCCTGTGACACCGACAAACCAAGAGATCCCACTTACAGGGTTGATGAGGGAAACAAAGGCAAGAGAAACGTAGCTTAAATTAAATCTCCTTACAGCTTGCAGCCCACTGAGAAATACGTGAGACACGCAGAGTGTGACCTTCCTCAAGGAACTCGTGGCCGCCTCAGTGCCTTAATGTTTATGTTTATTAAAGACTACAAGGAACCTTATCTTAGTAGCAGCTAGCCCTCAAGGTGCTGAAAGCCTTGCTTCCCAATTCCTTAGAGACTTACACTATCCTTAAACCCTACTAATTAAAAAGTATATAATCAGTCAGTCCTCCCAATCCCAGTGCAGCTCTTTCTGCCCATGGGTCCTGTCCCCGTGATCTTATAAAACCACCTTTTTAATGAAACAAGACAAAGCCAGAGAGTGAGACAAACCATAAGAGATTCTTAATCTCAGCAAACAAACTGAGGGTTGCTGGAGTGGTGGGGGTGGGAGGGATGGGGTGGCTGGGTGATGGACACTGGGGAGGGTATGTGCTATGGTGAGCGCTGTGAATTGTGTAAGACTGATGAATCACAGACCTGTACCCCTGAAACAAATAATACATTATATGTTCATTAAAAAAAAAAAAAAAGAAGAAGATAGCAGGAAGGGAAAAATGAAGGGGGTGGAAATCAGAGGGGGAGACGAACCATGAGAGACTGTGGACTCTGAGAAACAAACTGAGGATTCTAGAGGGGAAGGGGATGGGGGATAGGTAAGCCTGGGGATGGGTATTAAAGAGGGCACGTTCTGCATGGAGCACTGGGTGTTATGCACAAACAATGAATCATAGAACACTACATCAAAAACTAATGTATGGTGATTAACATAACATAATAAAATAAAAATAAAAATAAATAAAAATAATTTTAAAAATTTTT